TTTAAGTTTGGAATCCAGTTTGATGGGAGCCGGTATACCATGACTTTAGATGGTAAAGATTATGGAGGTATTCGCCTGCAGAACGAGACATGCACCGAGGCTATGGTCTCACAGCCGACAGTACTGACAGACAACATTTACTGCTACCATCAGCCTGAGCAAACTACACCGCGCCGGAGCAGCGCAGCAACTAGCTCCAGGCAGGGAATCAGGTCGTTCCCTTGGAACCTGGGAGCGAGTCCCGGAACCCCGACCTGCAACTACAACTACAGTAGTATCAAGCAACTGGCAACAAACATCTAGAGGTCCAAGTGGCGATGCAGACCACAGCTCCCTACGTTCCTGGACCTGTCAACTGGTCCCACTCACTTCCACTCCTAGAATGGAACCACCAGGTACCAAACAAGTAATGGCTGATCCCGGCCCCACCCGAGATCTACCTCGCAATCTACACTGTCGCACCTGTGTTTACCACACCATTGGGGACGCAACAGAGTTGGCCTGACTACACGTAGAGGAAAAGACAAACAAACCTGGTGAGCCCACCCAGGAAGGGATTCACCACTGTGAGGGTGTGGGACAGGACGGTCAAAGATCTCGCCTCACCTTGCGTATGGAGGGCGAACCCAGGTCCGCAGACCCTGCCCTACACGCCATCCACAGCGCTGACACCCCTTGCACTGGACCGGCTTTAATCCCAGCTGGAAGGGCGGAAACTCAGATGGGATTGGAAAAACCCAGCTGGAATATGACAGAAAATGACTCTACAGAGGAAACTCAGATGGGACTGGAAAAACCCATCTGGAACACGTCAGGAACTGCCGCTCTACACAGAAGTTCAAGTGGAGGAAGTGAAGCACACAAAAAAACACAGTGGCAGACCACTGGATGGGACGGGAAACGCCATCCACTGTATCCACTGCGTCGACCACTCTGATGTCGGACGTGGTCATGGACCATGCACTACACTGGACCTCGACGAATACTGACACGATTTTGTTTTAGCCATTGTATCTTGCAAATAATTTCTGCTGTCCTTTTCATATGTACAAATATTATTTTGTTTCTTCAATCACAAGTTATATTGTATGCCAATCCCCCCCCCCTTCTTCACAGGGGCCATGTATCTGATTATTATATATGTTGTGTGTGCTGCCCTGAGCAAGAGTTTAACAGTCAAAGCAACAAGTATGTAATCTGTTCCAAGCTTAAAGATACTAACGCTCGGGAACCTAAGCAGAAATAAGCTAGGGCAAGCAACACCATTACATAACCCTTCAAACCTCCAATTGTGTGCTCTCATCTAACATCCTGAAGTTATGCTCTCCAACAAACACCTGCTTAGGTGCTCTCTTTCTTCTTCATATCTACATTCATCTTTCCCTTTCCTTATCTTTAGTTGGCCACTTAAAATTTTTTAAATATTATTAGACAATGGTAGGATGTGAGGTGCATATTTTCCACCTCAGTAGCTATTTTCCCAGGTTGGGCACTCACTATTGCCATCCACTGTGAACATCGACTGCTTATGGCATGGAAGCTTTGGTCTTGGCGGGAGGTATAATGTTTATCTGTCAGACCAAAGCATCCAGGCCAGTAGTAGTATAACATAGACTTAGCAGTAACCAGGGGAGCATGTATTCAACCACAGAAGTAGACACAAGAGAGGTCAGTCACTTTGACCCAGAGTCCTCACTGCCACACAAATAGTTTAACCTGTCAACATGACCGTGTTACTCAAGAAACTACACCTGGGCAAACACAGCTGTCCAGACCTGACCCAAAGGAGGTAAAGTTCACAAGGGAACCAGAATTCTCACCGCCACTCTATCAGCTCAACCCGGCGTCATGACCTTGTTAATTCAAGGAACCGCTAACCAGCCAGCACTTCTATTACCCGACCTAACATCCGGTCAAGACACACCCAATTTACTGTTAATTGGGAGAGGTCATCCGCCAGCAGATCTCCAATATATAGGCCCTGTAGCTCCTTTCACACGAGGAGTCTTGTAACCGTGAAGGGCCAGCAACTATGTCCCGAATCCCGCTCGTCGTCATCTCATCAAGGAAGTCCATCACTAAGGACAACGAGGTCTCAGCCCGGTCCACTGACAGTGTGCTGTTGACTCAACGTTTGAAACCAAGTGCTGGCTGTGTAGACGGTGGTAGTGCGGTGATCCTGAACCTCCCAACGATCGACTTAGTGGAAGTGCCCATTCAACCTGTGAGGTTATAAGAAAATATCACAGTGTATTAAAAATTGTGTACAAACCCCATTAATACCCCCTATTGAATTAGTAAAATACAGCTGGAACACACATTTGTGTTTTATATACTACACTTGTACGAAGTCTGTGTTAATATACTGTACAGTATTATCTTCACACCCTCAAGTCACACTACTTCCCTCACTATACGACTCTGCCACTATAAACTCGTACTTTACCTCTTCATATGAGATTTAACCTCATTATACAGGTAGAACCTACCCATACTTTGTCCTCTTGGTCACTTGTGAGTTTATTAGTTGGTTAGGCTGTTGGTCAGTTCTCTGTTATACATTGTAGGCATGTCTCTGTTATACATTGTAGGCATGTACTGGTTACTGAGTGTACCTTAACATGATACAATGTTTATCATGCCAGAACATAAGGAAGTGCACATTGGCAGGTTATTCCACAAGTTCACAACTATTACTAAAAGAAGTTGTTCGCAGTCACATCTCCCGCCTCTGCTGACGGCCGTGTAAATATTTCAATATGATTCTAATCTTTTAAAATGTTAGTTTTTGTATAATGTAGTATTACTGATATGTAATTTGTTTTAGTATGTCTTATTGTTGGTAAAAATAAGTATATATTAAATTCATCCTCCGAAAGCATGAATTTGCTACCTACCAGAGTTTAACAGTTAATTCATGTATAATATTTTTTATAAACTTCCTACATATGTACTTATGTTTGAAATAATGAATGTATGTATCTTTATATAATTTAGATAAATATCTCTCTTGTCAGAAACGATCATCCCAACGATTATGAATAAACTCGTTTAGAAATACAGCTCCTCCCCAAATTACGATGGGGTTAGGGACAAATCCAGGTCGTAAGTCGAAAATGCTTAAATAATACATAAAAAATCTAAAATTGGTGTCTCTTTTTCTTCTCAGCACCACAAAACTCTCACTTTTAAGCTTGCCAGCCATTTATAAGTGAATTACAAACGAAAATTTTGTCTGTGTACTGACGTTGGGACTCGAAAATACGTAATTTGACAAAATTTCGGTACGACTGAGGCATGTCATAAGTGGGGTGGTCGTAAGTCGGGGAGGAGCTGTACATCATTATTTCAAGACGAAATCGGACAGGTTTGAAACCGCCAATCAGCTGTAGTAATTCTTGAGAAGGGGGCGGGGCATCTTTTCTCAGCTGAGAAAAATTGCACTGTGTAGTTTGATGTCCTGAAGGCTGTTAATTAGCTAGTTGGGTTTTAATGTTGAAATTGGATTTTGATTAGTTGTGCAGTGCTCAAATTAGGGATTGATTATTACAAGAAAAGGTACAAGTATTTAGAACAGGCAAAGGTGAAGAGGCGAGGGAGGAGCCGAGGTAAAGGTGATTACATAGCTCTTTGGTTTGTAATGAAGAATAAACACTCTCTCTTCTGGGGTAACAGGTAACTTGGTTCAGAGCATCAATAGGTTTTACATCACTCATTTTGCATCAGTAAGCTTGACATTGTAACCCCAGCTAAAATTAGTTAATTTAGAGTTACACCATTTCATTAACATAATACAGTGACCCCTCGGTTAACGAACTCAATCCGTTCCAGAAGGTCGTTCGTTAACCGAAAAGTTCGTTAACCAAAACCATTGTTTCAATGGGTTTTTGGGTAATTGGTTCCAGCTCACCGAAAATTGCCTAAATTCAACAAAAATGGTAGAAAAGTTCACTTACTTTGAGGTGTGTATGTAGAAGGCTCCTGGATGATGATGATGGGAATTAGAATGGGGGTGGAGGAGAAGGAAGAAGAGAAAGCATTGGGGTGGAAGAGAAGTCACCCCATGGCACCATTTCACCCATAAAATTTTAGTTCTCTTGGTGTATTTCAAGATTATTTTCTTTAAATCAACACTGCACTGCATTATATATTGTCAATATGTAAAATATATTTCAAAATGACCAATAATTTGCTTGGCAACACAGAAAAAAGCGTTTAGTTGAAGAGAGTCTCAAGCAAGATGTTACCTCCAGTGAAAACAGAGAGAGACTAATGCCTGTTTGCTGTGTTAAGAGGGTGGATGCCGCGCATTAAACTTGTCACTTTACCTTCAATTATGTTCAATAATTGTTAAAATGACTAAAAAATTGAATATTAAACTTTTAAAATTATTGAATAGTATAAACTTCTTGATATTTACTAAAATAGTAAGGAATTTAAGCCCTAGAACCGATTAATGTATTGGCGGACTGATACTAAAGCTGGTTGCCCGGTCAGTGCAAGCGAAAACATGTTGAGGTCGGTTCGTAAGAAATTCGTTAACCGAATTTTTGTTCGTTAACCGAATTGAAGATCCTTATGGAAGGCAGTTCGTTAACCGAGGCATTCGTTAAACGAGGGGTCACTATCTATATGTATGCCTGTGTTGTAAATACTGTATGCCAAAAATGAAGGTTCTGTTGAAATTTTGAATGGCCACTATTTGGGGGCATTGAAAAAATGGTATCATGTGGGATTATTATTGTTGTTATAGTGATAATTATATACTGAAATTTATGAAGATTATGCCAAAAAAATGTATATGGGTTTCAGAACCTCAATGTCTAAATGCGCTTGTCAAGTCACTTCATGAAGGCCCCCCCCCATGCTTAAAAAGAAGATATCTGTAGCAGAATATATTAGTCATTTGAGGCTGTATGTTGTAAGAGGGAGTTATATAGAGTGCACTTAAGTAACTAAAGACATTCATGTTAAAGTAACAATGAATTATATCACAACAGGAGCTTGGCTGCCAGAGGCTTGTGGCCTAGATGATGTATTTCGGTCGCAGGTTGTACTACTGGAACATGTGGTGAGGCTACCAGTCACACAGCTTCGCGGCATTGCAGCTATTGTGGATTGTTCAGGGCTATCCATGACTCATGCTTACTACCTTACACCTACTCATATAAGACGGATGATATCAGTTATACAGGTAAGGGGACAGTATAAGTTTACAGGTTGTGTTTTATTCAATAAGATTAAATGGTTTTTGTTCTGTAATTACAACCTTTCATTCATTTTATGTTGGTAATATAATGTGATATCACCATCTTACTCATTCTTTGTTCATAAATATTTTTGATAATCGTCAGAGTTTGGTTGGTTAATGGTAATTACACTGGATCATATGTTACTTTACAGGAAGTGTTCCCTCTGAGGTTCAAGGCTCTTCATTTTGTACATGAACCTTCTATATTTGACTGGGTCTTCAGCCTCATCAAGCCCTTCCTCTCAGAGACCATAAAGGGACGGGTAAGTCAGTTCATCCTAAAATTCACTGATAATAGGGGTATTATTATTGGTACCAAACATTTTTTCCATGACTCTTTGGGGGCCATTAAAAAATTATGTAGTGCTTTTTTCTACCCAAATTTATACCCCCCTTCCGGGACTCACAACACTGCTCCACATCACACTAATCAGAACTGTCAAGACTTTGGATGACTTGACAGCTGCTTTACATACAAAGAGTTTTAAAATATCATGCAGCTCAGTTTATTTGCAACTACTGCCTAGAATTCATCAACTCGAGAGGGAAAACGACATGTGAAAACAGTTCCTGTTAAACTAATGAGGTCTGAAAATCGTGCACACTCAAGACATCCAGATACCCTATTTGCTAGAAGATCTATCTCTTATCAGGAAGAGATTGCTTCTCTACTTGGGCCACATGAAGTCACAAGATGATAAGGCAAGAGTTCCAATAGGCATTACCGCTGCAAACAAACAGGCTCCTCTGATAATGCATATGGAATATAAAGTCACTCTTAGTGACCATGATTTTGTTGTTGCCCTAAAACACAAACTATTACCATTAGTAATAGCTGGTATTTAAATAAAGGAAAACTGTATTGGAGAACAAGGGGTCGCCTATTCTGATCCAACATATATAGCGATACAGAGTGCTAAACACACATCGTCAACTGCAATGGGACATCTGAGAGATATGAAGAAAGTGCATTCCTTACCACAGTTTAATGAACAGATGTCTACTCCTGATGGTATGCCAAAGCCAGTCATGATTGTAGCAGCAGATGGTGGTCCTGATGAAAACCTTAAGTATGAAAAAACCATCAAGTGTGTTGATTACTTTTGCACATATGATCTAGATGCTCTCTTCATTGCAACAAATGCATCAGGTCGAAGTGCACTGAACAGAGTTGAATTACATATGGCCCTACTAAGTCATGATCTAGCTAGAGTCATCTTACCTCAGGATCATTTTGAAAACCATCTAAATTTTAATGGAGAAACTGTGGATGAAGAATTGGAAGAGTAAAATTTTGCCTATGCAGAGAAAATTCTCGCAGACATTTGGTCGGCTATTGTTGTTGATGGCTACCCAACAGTTGTTGAATATGTTGATCCACAGGAAGGAAATGGATCAGAAATCCTTGAAAAGTCCTTCCTAGTATGCAAAACATGTGCTAGAGTGTCAGTATTTTCTACAGGTCATCAAATACCAAGATACAGTAGTACCCCGATTTACAGGGTCAATTGAACCCATGGGGTACCGCGGAAAGTGAAAACCGTGTAAAGTGAACAACAGAACATATGGGATTAATTCCAATAGAGACTGGCCCGATCCCCAAACTCCACTTTTTCAGACACAATACCTACGTTGTAGTAAAAAGTACATCTTAATTTTATGATGGTATGCACACACAATTAATAATTAAGAGAAATATCAATAATATTAGTTTTTTTTAACACTTACATTAGAAGAAAAGATGGCTGGGCACACGGGGATGGGGGTTGGTTCCGAGGCAGAGGGCAGATTATTGGCCCTCACCTGCATCACTTGTATCAATTGTATCACTATCCACCACATAGGCTTGCAGGGCCTCTTTGTCAAACCCCTCAAAGTCTATATAAGTCCATATCCTCACTTTCACTGACTTAGGCCGGCTGTGGTGGGTGGCGGGTGAAGAACTCGGTAATGTTTTGATGACTGGGCGACCTTGTGCGCATCCTGCCTACGCCGCTTCCCGTGTATGAGTAGATGCACCGCGGAAAGTGAAAGTTCGGTTCTGGCGAGGCACCGCGTAAATGAGAAATAGCGTTAAGTGAAACCGCGTAAAGCGGGGTAATACTGTACAGCTTACTGTAATGCACCAAGAAGTTCTTTCTTTTCAGTTATTACCAATAGATTCTTGCCATCACTACTTCCCCTTGTACAGACAGCAGATGGCTTATTATGTTGTCTTGGTGATTTGAGTGCCAAATACCCTACCCACCGTTCTTTGTCAATCTAGCACACGACAAATCTGTGCTACCAGCTCAGGTAGTTAAAAAAAATCCAAACCAAAAGGCCTACCATATAATTTGGTATGTCCTAGTCTGAAGAATAAGCTACAGAAGCACATCTGTGGAACAAGTGGCAAATACTTTGCCTCAGTCAGGTCCATGACTTCACATATTAAGAAACACTGCTCGAGTCACAGTTGCCATTCTGTTGTGAGTGCTCCAACAGAAAGGCTGCAACCTCAAAGACTAGCTGCCAAGAGACAAAGGGAATTCATGTGTGTTGCCAAGTACGTACCTGAAAAAAGAAGAGTATGAGTGGCACATGGAGGAAGAATTGGATACTGGGGGACTTGAAATGCCAACTGAGATCAGGACTAACAAAGGAACATCATTCATGACTGTGCAAAGTAGAGAACCAGTGTGGCAGGAAGAATGTTAAATCTGGGACAACACACATGAACCACCCCTGGACACTTAAATATTTAGACCGAGAACCGAGTTTTCAGAAATATATTGTTTTTTTGACATGCAAGCAATATACTGTATCAGGAATATATTACTTAAAATATATTTGTGTTAATTATTAAAGTTGCATTACTTGCTTTCACCTTTATTTGGAAAAATAGAATGTGATGCATTTGACAAGGTATAGAAAGACCTGAGTACATATATTTTCTTTGTAATTCTTAGTACACTTTTAGTATTAAAGACTTTCAAAGATTACATCTGTATTATTTAGGCTTTATTTTATATTTCACTGTTACATAACACTTCTTCTGACACCCCTCCCCACCCCTGTAACACCTGACTTGATAACCCCCACCCCCGTCTGCATTACATTACATTACTGCCAATATCAACACAATAGTGGAAATCGTTAACTTGGGTAAGCAAATCACGGAATAACATGGCAGAAATAATCTTTGCCTACTTCGTGTTTAAGAACGCACCTTCTTAGTAATGTACAACTTTTGCTACTGTAATCACGCTAGATGAATGAGTGTGTGGTGCTTTAGACTCTTTCAACGAAACATTCATATTTGCAGAGAGCAATGGTACTGAGTTGTGAAGAGTTCTACACGGCATGGCTGAAAATTTAGTCTGTGATACTTTACTGTAGAACTATCATATTTTTAGTTTGAGAAGATGTGTTTATGACATCATTAAAATATGCAGTTTGAAAATTAGGAACATTATTATCCTCCCTGGGATCAAAAGAAAATGTCCACATTTTCTATGTCTTAGGTTTGAAAAATTATTTAGATACAAACCAAAGAAATAACCTTGTCCATCCATTTACAAGAAATTTATAAAAATTATAGTTAAAATAATTAAAGTATCAATAACTGAACAGGTAAGAAATAAATACTGTACTGGAAGTTATATTACGTCAGTATATATTAAAACAAGTAAGGCACTTATAAAAATTTATAGAACTTACACGATGTCCTATCAATGTGAAGATATTTCGTCAAATATGTAAATGTGTGTATATATTTAATGAACACTAAATACCTATCGACTTAGTCGGATGTCTTCATAGAAAACGCGATCCGTCCAGCTGGTCTCCTCACATTTGGTCCGCCCAAGGTCAAGGTGTGTGTGTGTGGGTGGGTACTGCAGTCTCCTCTTTGTTGCTTAGCAACCAAGAGCTCCAAGATGGCGACAGTCGAATCCACTTCCACTTGAATTGATGACTGCTGGTGAAAGGTCCTGTGCTGCCAAACCTTGAAACTTGTAGGTTTGTGGCAACACTGTACGCCGGTACTCAGAATGCCCAGTGCTGACTACGGAAGTTCTTTATGCCACTGCTTGTTGCCAGACAGGGGTGTTGCCAACTTTCCATAAGACAGAAAGTCATCCATAACTCAGAATCGGTTATTGGGAATAATTCTGCACCTTCTTTGGGCAACAGAATGAGTCACTCAACTATAATTGTCTCACTACGGGATATATCACTACACTTGGAACTTTTATGTAACATGTCACTTTTTCTTTGTTTCGGAAGCTGATGACTTGTTATGTAGAATGTGTATTCAAACCGGAACTTAGTATCCGTAACCACTGCTGTTGATACAATTCCTGATGTAGATCAACCGTAAGTTCATCTCACTCTCTATGGACGTTAAGAGAAGGACGGAGGCTATGTAAATAGACCGTTTAATCAGGTCCTTTCGATGTGAGATTATGAGTGGAACTTCTATGAGTAGTGACCCATTGAGGGAGAACGGAATAGGCACGTCGTCCTCCCTCGAGGGAAGATGGAGCCATCCACAACGTCTCTCAAATAACGCCTTCCTCTCGTGAGTGCTAACAAACCTACTGCCCGCTTTGGGTGGCCAGAGAGCCGGCTACAAATGCCTTAACTCGGCATAATATGACGCGACTTCCCGTGGGCACACCCTATCACGTGCACTGAACATGTCACCTCATAGCTAGTAGAAAGTTACAGGGGTTGAATCAGTATATAAATCAAATGTAATTAACCCATTTATATAATTCTTCTGTTTATGAACCAAGAGCCATTACACCCTTACTTTATTCATTTGATTCTCAAATACACAAATAGAATACATAAATAAACAAATAAATACTTCACTAGACCTTCAGTGCCAACTGTCAATGCCACCTCCCCTTCCTCCCTCCTCCCCTTCCAGTCAGGGTTTGGTGGTTTTAGGCTTTTAAGTTTTTATCTTATATAATATCACAGACTAAAGTTAGGAGAATATAATTTGCATTGTTGGAATCCTTGAAAGACGGTGAATAATTTGAATCTAAGAGAAAAACTTAGTCACTCTTAAAGACTGACAAATAAACACACATTAGACCTTCGGCGCCAACTGTCAAACATATCACCTCACCTCCCCCATCTGCCCAGCCAGGGTTTTAGGCTTAAAGTTTTTATCTTATATAATATAAAACTAAAGTTAGGAGAATATAATTTGCATTGCTGGAATCCTTGCAAGACAGCAAATAATTTGAATATAAACGTCATATATTTTGCACGAGATAAAAATTAATCACCTGTATCACATTAAAGTAGTGATTTAATAGTTCTAGTGTATATGTATGTATATATACAGCTCCTCCCCGACTTACGACGGGGTTAGGGACCCAAATCCAGGTCGTAAGTCGAAAATACTTAAATAATACATAGAAAACCTAAAATGGGTGTCTCTTTTTCCTCTCAGCACCACAAAACTCACTTTTAAGCTTGCCAGCCATTTTAACCCATTAGCACCCATGGTCCTTTTTTTAGGACCAGAAGGATAATTCATCATATTTCTGCAACACCTGTATTTTTCTGAGATATCTTTAGTTAGTCATCAAGACTGGAGTGTCTTTCAAATATTACACCTACTGTCTGATGTATATTGGCAACACTGATGTCTCAGTTTTCAGTACAGTGTGAAAATCTTGAGGGAAAGGATACACTCAGTTTCATCTATTATTCAATCAAAAAGTTTTTTGGTAAGTAGTACTTATATCCAACCCATATTTGTATATAGTATAAATGAATGTTCTAACTCTCCTATAAAGTCAAGAAAATCTTTGAAAGTAATTTTGCTCAAATATAGCATGCTCTAAAAGTTTGGTCCTAAAATAAGGACCATGGTCACTAGGACTCCATTTTTTCCATTTTCTATGGATGTTGCATAAAAGAGAAAACGGTTTGCAAGGCAAACTTTTTCATGCTGAAAACATTTTCTATGTATAGACAGTAGATGAACAGATAGTAAGATACTATGGAAGAAGCTCTCTAAAACAATTTATAAGAGGTAAGCCAATAAGATTTGGTTTCAAGCAGTGGGTGCCATGTTGTGCCACGAGTGCCTATTGTTTTGGAATGGATTTATATCAAGGAAAGCAAAAAAATCCTACTTCCAATACCAAGTATGCTGACAGTCTAGGTTCAAGAGTGGTTTTATCAATGACCAATCACCTAGAGAACCCCAATGATCATGAAATTTATGTTGATAACTTTTTCTCAAGTTATAACCTATTTGTACAAATGAAATCCCTAGGAATCAGAATCACGGGTACAGTACGTTCAAACAGAACATCGAGATGTCCCCTGAAGGATGACAAATCCCTGAAAAAGGAAAATCGTGGATCCTATGACTACAAATGTGAAGAAAAGGAAGAACTCTTTTTTTTGAAATGGCATGACAACAGCGTTTTCACAATTGCAAGCAATCATCAGTCTGCCACCCCTGTTGGAAATGCTAAAAGATGGTCAACCAGCCATGGAAAGGAAATATTTGTTCCTCAGCCATTTCTCATATCCCAGTATAACAAATATATGGGAGGAGTGGACCACTTAGACTGGCTTATCCAAAGGTATCACATCTCTGTTATATCTAAGAAGTGGTACTTTAGTCTATTCACAAATTTCCTTGATACTGTAATGGTTAATTCCTGGATTGTATATTGTTTTGCAAATGGAAATACTTTGACATTACTAAATTTCAAGAGGTCAGTTACAAAAGCTTATTTGCAGTTATCCTCAGATTCTGATCCCAAAAATTCTGGACGGCCAAAGGTATTTTCTTCAAAAGTAATACCAGAAATTAGAATTTCTACTACTGGACATATTCTTGATAGAACAGAGGGAGGGAAACAAATAAAATGTGCCTTTTGCAAAAAAGTTTCAAAACAATGTGTAAAATGTGATGTTGGTCTTCATATGGGTGAATGTTTCAACAAATGGCATTCGAAGTAATCTGTATTTAGAGTGCTTTTTTTTATTTTTATTTTCCTTTTTGAAATCAAGTATTCTACTTTAAGAAACCTGTTTTTTGAACAAAAGTACCCCCCATATGCCCATGGTCCTAAAAAAAGGACCAAACTAAAAATGAATTTTTTTTCTTAAAATATTGTAATTTTTTTTTTTTTTTTATTTAGTATCAAATAAAGTTGTACAGTATACCTGTATAAAAAAAAAAGATTTTTGGTAATAAATTAAAGAAAAAATTTTTGGGCATTAATGGGTTAAAGTGAATTACAAACGAAAATTTTGTTAGTACACTGCGCAATCACTGACATTGGGACTCGAAAATACGGAATTTGAGGAAATTTTGGTACGACTGAGGTGGTCGTATGTCCAGGTGGTCGTAAGTCAAGTAGGTCTTAAGTCGGGGAGTAGCTGTACTGTATTGTGATAAAAGGGCAATTTAAGGGAATTTTAGGAGTGTTTCTGACTTCATGGGTTTTTGGCTTTACTTTGTATGTACTTTTTCTGTGAGTTGGAACCAATTATCCAATTGAATCAATTACCCAATTATCCCATTGAAATAATAGATTATAAAAAAAAATGGTTAACAAACGACTCTGGAACCAATTGTGTTCGTTAATCGAGGGACCACTGTACTGACATTCTCCAGTCATAATGTAACAAATTCAATATTGTTAATAAAATAGCTAATTTCGACCTACCAAATTAAGTACGAAATGTCTCACATTCAGGCCTACCAACCCTCGCGAGACAACGGGAATGTTCAGTTGGAAAATCATCGGACCCCACCTGTACGGTAGTTTTTTTTTACCGAATGTACATGTAATTACTAAATGTAAAAGGGTAACACTTTCCAACACTCCAGGATAAGAATGAAGCATCATAGTAGGAGACTCAGATTCATGGTAGGTGACATAGAGGCATGGTAGGTGATGCAGGTGGCCAGATATGCTGAGATTTTCCCAGATATTTTTACAGCTACTCCCGGACTTATGACCTACTCGACTTACAACCACCCGGACATACGACCACCTCAGTCGTACCAAAATTTTGTCAAATTACGTATTTTCGAGTCCCAACGTCAGTGATTGCGCTGTGTACTGACAAAATTTTTGTTTGTAATTCACTTTAAAATGGCTGGCAAGCTTAAAAGTGAGAGTTTTGTGGTGCCGAGAAGAAAAAGAGACACCCATTTTAAATTTTCTATGTATTATTTAAGCATTTTCGACTGACGACCATTTCGACTTACGACCTGGATTTGAGTCCCTAACCCCGTCGTAAGTCGGGGAGGAGCTGTATATATCTCGGCATTTCCCGAGTTATACTAATACATTCCTAAACCATATCCATGTCAAGTTATCGAGGGTTTACTGTAATACAGTATGAGTAATATCAGATAATAAATTAATCATTTGTTTTTCCAACAGTTACATTTCCATGGAGAAGATTTGGAGTCTCTTCACCAACACATTCAAGCTGAGGAATTACCAGAAGAGCTGGGAGGTACTCAGGGTCCTTTGGATAATACCTTCCTTTTAGAAAACTTGAAAAAACACGAGGATTACTTTAAAGGTACTTGTCAATACCAAATTTCTGAATAAATGTTTTATCTTGTAGCTACTACCTAATTGTCTATAAGGAAGCAAAGATATGTAAGAACACGTCAGTTTTTTATAGTTACTGTACAGTATTTGAGATGGAGTGTCAACAACAGGGATCAGGTGTTTTTTTTTTGTTTTTTTTTTTTAGCAGAATTAAAGAGCTACATCTAAAGAATTGGTCTTGGTGAACTTCTCTGGATTTCTGAGAGAAAGGTCATTACTTTTTACTTTTATCCTCTTCGCCACTGATCGTCTCATTAGCCACTTGGGCGATCAGTCACGTCTCTGTTATGCACTGTTGGCAAGTACCAGGCATGCTCTGGCTCCTGAATGTATCTGAACCTGCTCCAGTGCTGGTCAAGTTTGGTCTTGAAATAGCTCACACAAGGTGCCGTCACAACACTCTGGGAGGTTGTTCCAAGAGTTCACAACTCTCACTCCAAAGAAGTTCGCCCTCACAGTTTTCTGAACTTGCGGCTTCAACCTTGGGCTATGACCCTTTGTGGGGCTGGCATCTGCCAGCTCCAGGTATGTACACTCAACTGAGTAGTGCCCAGTTTGTACATGTAAAAGTACTAATGGCTTGGAGTACATTATATTGCACCACCTCCAATTATATCAGAGTTGGCTTTGGTATTTAATGTTGTCAGATTAAATTGGAAGATGTTATCTGACTTCCTTCAGAATTAGCATAAAATCACCAAACTTCTATCTACCATCTCGGTTAATTTCATGATATTGGTGGATTTATGAAAATTCTTGCACTTATCCATGTCACTGACCATAAACTGTCACAAGAGGAAGTGATAAAGTAGGTTCTCCAGATCTGTTGTTCTGGTTTGACTGTCACTCACTTTGCTTTGGTCTGTCACACACTTTGCTTTGGTCTGATGCATCTTGTCTAGTGTTCTTCATATTCTCACTTAAAAAATAAGTGGTACAGTATAAATGTACCAATTTTATTATACTGTTGTTTTGTATTCATTATTGATTGTGAATGAAACTCCCTTACTGGGGATGTCTTATATCTTTTTGTTGCTTTGGTTCACATCTTGTTCTAGCAAATTGCTTATTAATAAGATTTTTTCAGTTATTTTCATGGTCATTGAGCTAATAGAATCCTTTTCATCAACCCCAGTAGCAACACATCTTGCCTCACATACTCCTGTTTGTCAAACCTTACCATTTATTCACATCCTTCATGCCTCACATATTTCAACACTTTTTAAAAATCTTATCACAAAACCAAATACATATACAAAGTATCTCATTCATTGTGTATTAAGTAAGCTTAGCTGGAATGTAGATATTTTGTACCTCCTCTGGTTTATCACTGTTAAAATTAAGAAAAAATATGTTCTCTGATAAAAACATTTTTATGTGGAGCCATTTGTGTGAAATATCACAGGTTTTGAGTTTTACCAGTATCACTGAATTGTAAACTTTCTTAGGTCCCTCGGTTAACGAACACAATTTGTTCCAGAAGGTCGTTCGTTAACCGAAACCATTGTTTCAATGGGATTTTGGGTAATTGGTTCCAGCTCACTGAAAATTACATAAAGTAAAAAAAATAATGCAGTAAAGTACACTTACTTTGAGGTGTGTATGTAGAAGGCTCCAGGTTGATGATGATGATGATGGAAATTAGAAGTGGGGGTGGAGGAGAAGGGAGAAGAGAAGGAAGTAGGGGTGGAAGAGAAATCACCCAATGCTTCATGCCGTCATTTCACCCATAAAATTTTAAGTTCACAAGATGTAATTCAAGATTATTTTCTTTAAATCTGCACTGCACTATATATATTGTTAATATGTTAAATAAATTTCAGAATGACCGATAATTGTACTGTAAAAACGTAAAAATAGTTTATGTTCAAGAGAGGCACAAGCAAGAAGTTACCTCCACTGACCAGAGATACAAACTGAAGCCTTGGTGAGTCAAATGGCTGATTGGCGCACCAAAAACTAGTTTCCTGTACTGCAATTATGTTAAATAATTGTTAAAATGACTAAAAAATTTAATATTAAACTTGGAAAATTATTGAATAATACAACCTTCTTGATATTTACTCAAATGGGAACGAATTTAAGCCCTAGAACCGACTACTGTATTGGCAGACTAATATTCCAGCTGGTGAGCAAGCGAAAACAGGTTGACATGATTTCATAAGAATTTCGTTAACCGAATTCAAGATTCCTATGGAAGGTAATTCGTTAACCGAGGGATCACTGTATTTATTTAACGCTTCTTAATTTACAGATGACGACTCCGTGCAGGATATTGTCCATAAAGACTTATTTTAAGTACCTTGTGATGCCTTGATGCATTTCTTTATATGTACAGGTATATATATTTTTTTTAATACTGTTTCCATGCAGAACTTCGTCCATATGGATGCACAGAGCCTGTGAAGAAAATAATTACTTTGAAAATGTCTGCTGGAATATCACATCTTCGGAAGCACTTGTTACGTATTGTTCACTACAACTGTTGAGACAAGGTGACTGATTTATTGATACATGTCCATCAATACTAGTTTGCTGGACATGGTATCATTAAAAAAAATCCACCATGTTATTTTCTGTGTAGAGTGGAGCATGCTGCATCATATTAAACATTTTATTCATTTAACATCTCTGTCCATTTCAGTACCAGGCTTGGAAGATTTGCCAAACAGTTTTGCATGTTGCTTTGGAGTTCGTGCCATATGTTTGGAATTGTTGACATCTTTTGGCAGTGTGTTTAAGCTTTCATATTAAAATATAAATTAAAATGTTTGATTGTATGACAGCAAAGGAAACACAGGGTCAGAGAGGCAGCTATGTTTCCTTTACTACCATACAGTACAACCATTGTCCAAATGATTACAATTCATTTATTTATTTTTTTCATTTTAAATTTATTGCTTTTCCTGATAATTGTTGTACATTTACAGAACATTTCATCTATGGTTTTGAGGCGTGTGAGGAACCTCCAAGGCAGGGAACCATGATGGAAGCAGTTACAGACATGGGCAGTTTGATCGGTAGCTACTACAGGAGAATGTGCATAGACTAGTGCTAGCAGCCCTGCACTAGTGACTTCTAGTGCAATCAAGAAGACTAATGTGACAGTGATGGTAGTCTGTTCTGTGATGAAATTGTAATTTGGTGTTCATGTACCTATTGAAGGTAGGAAATAGCATAGTTGTTGCATGGTGGCCTTAGTATTGTACTGGAGGTGAGTAAATTAGTTTATGTATTCTCAGGGAAAAGTTATTGCCTCAGTTTTATAGGAGGAAATAGTAAAGCCATAGGAAAGGGTAAACTTTGTTGTACTTTATTTGTAGAAAAACTCTTGTGATAATTGTTAAACTTTATCCAAGAAGCAAGTGGCTGTTTTATGAATGTAAGTAAGGTACATTGTTTTACAATGTAATGGGCAGACCCAAATGTTAACAGTTTGATCACATGTATGTACAAGTTACACCCCACGATCTAAGCAAGTATGTCTTGTAGGTGATGCATATAGCTGGTGAATCATTTGCAAGTTTCTCCATGGTCAGACTGAGGCAATACCATATTGTCTGGGGTCACCACACTGCCTCCATTGTCAAGGTCTTAGTGCAGAGCTGTAAGTTCTCTAACACTACTGTAGTGTGTGTAGGGACAGAGTGACCTCTTATTGGGAGGAAAATTGCCCGTGGCAATCTTGTTATCATTGTAGGAAATAACAGTTTAATGATGAATAGGTAGATATATTAAAATTTATAGACTAAATGCTCAATGAATAGTCAATGAATTTACTAATTTTTGACATTACCATTTGTTTAAAGTGTTAAGAATGTCACATAACAAAGGTACAAGTCAGTACAGTATATTGGAACATTTAATATAACTTTGTAAAGAGTTTTCCTAATTGATTTAAATTACAGTTGTCTTTTGGTCTCTACAGTTTTATAATTGCAAACAGGTAGTTGTCCTTCAAATTGCTTTACAGTATAACTGACAAATATTTCTTGTTGAACATGTACCAGAATGAGCATATTTTTTTATGATTTAATTCTTAAATACTGTATACACTTATTATGTCAATTCAGCTTTAACATAGAATGTGTGATAATATATTGTTCAATTTTGATAATGGAGCGTTAAGTGTCAGTGTGGGCACAATATTGTACTGTACCCACAATCCACGAGCTCAGGACTCAACTGTGGCCATGACACTGTCTGTTTTGTGTTATGGTGTATTCCTTAACGGCCCAAAGCTTAAATGCCCGGAAGAATAGCACAAGTGAAAAATTTAAAAAAAAAAAAAAATAGATTTAGGACAAGATTATAAATTTTGTTTGTACAGAATATGCAATTTGTCTCATATTTTCCTCTCTATGACATTTGTAATGTTGTCGGGGTAAAATATGATAGTAGATTAATAGTTTGGGATGGAAACCCATTTGTGAGAATAATAGTTTCAAACCTCATTTAACAGCAATAATTTATTTAGTTTTAATATTATTTTTTTTTCATGCAAGAAGACTTTATGTCCAGCAGCAGAGATACAGTATAATGAACACTTGTATTGCCTTTTTGTATTTAAGGTTCTAAAGGATGTATCATAGTTAGTGTATATCTTGTGGTAAAAAGTTTATGAATATTAGTGATAGTATCCACAGTTGGAATGGTAGAGTATTATTAACAATGTTGGATTGTTAGAGTCCTTATCATGAATGAAGGGATGATTACAAGAGAATAAAGCTTCACTGTATTATCAGAGGAATAGATGAGGAAATTAAGTGTAGCTAATATCAGGAATTGTGATACAATCAGTTGATGACTTACAGGGTGGGGGCACAGTAGTTAGTCAGATATATTTAATGTATTTGAGGAGTCTGGGATACGAAAGTGCTATGCAAATACGGGGGGTAGTTTCATTTGACTAAATAAGGCAGTATAGTCATCTCTGATGACTGGATTCTGAAGAAAGGTGGAATGACAGGTCCTGAGCATACAAAAAAATAAAATTATCTTCAACTTTACCTCTATTATCTTCCAGTTGTGGATATTGTTACTTATTTTCTTGTTTGAAATCACTTTACTGAAACAAATGAACATCTTAATTTTTGTAATTTTATAGTTAAAGTGAGGACATTTAATGTGACGGAAGAGATCTACAGGGTATGGTACTTGGGGTACCAAATTATATAAACATTGATAAGTGCATTAATTATTTAAAAGTATGCAGTTTATATTTGCTGTGAAAGTGTACAGTATGGTATTTGTCATGTAGCTGTTTAGATAGATGTATTGAACAATGATCAAGGTGAATTTTGAACATTTACATGGGCCACTGAAAATCATTTATCGTGTTAGGAGGTCATTTACATAGTTCCCATACCATGACAATACTCTTATATTGTGACATAACATGTCAAAGGTTGATTTAAAATTTAAAAAAATAAACAGATCCTAAATGCAGTGAAAAGTTGTGGTAAGGTTCTGTTGAAAGAAGAGAAGTTTTAAATTATAGATATTCTTTTGGTAGATACTGTACAGTATAATTATGAAGATTCAAATTTAATAGAATAAAGTTTTGAAGCCATGAATAATTAGATGTCTATTAAAAATATGCAATCTGATTTGGTTGTTACCAGTGTTTGACTTTGTCATTCCATAGATATACTGTTTTATGAGCTTAAAAACTCAAGATGGTTAGAAGAAAAGATTAACAAAGCAAAAGGAAATTTTGGATGTGTAGCATGTTGTACTTCGTACCACATCCCTAACTTTGCCTTTGTCAAAATGTTCACTGATCAGTCTTGACTATTTGATCATGCATGGTTGAACACCTCATTCCAATAATGTATAAATAGGACTTATACTTTATACATATATAGACACTAGTGAAAAATGGATCTAGATGGCAAGGTTGAGTAATGGAGTACAGTACAGTATAAGAATATGTGGGTTTTGTGAAAAGGAGTTATTTATATCCATTAATGAAATCTTGGTGATGATATTAAGGATAGGATGAGGTAATGTGGAAATACAGGCCTTCCTCATGTTCCAGAAAGGACGCATTTATGAAAAATTGGCCACAACACAATATTCCGTAACACGATCACTATTTTCCCATTGAAATATATTTTTTAACATATATTAAAAGGAAAGATCATTATTTTATGATACAATATGCTCATAATACTCAACGGCTTGAATTTAACTCAACAGAAATGCATGGCAGCAAATACTCAGTGGAAAAAGATAAGAGAATCCCCGTTAAACACATGTGATGGTCTACCTATTGCCAACAAGCAATATATCACATCAACCTGAAATTGGGTAAAACAACGAGCCTAAATAAAAAGGACATTTAGGAACGAAGTTTGTCTAAGAACTGTACATTACACACACAAGACGTTATAACTTCTTTTTTTTTAACTCCTTCCTATAAGGGTGAATACTCTTCATATCCCATATGTAATGCTTGCACTTTACAAATTTTATTTAGGTGAATTTTTGTAACTTGGATGTTCTTAATACAGGGATGACTAAGAGACCAGAAAAAAAGAAGTAAATTATTGTCTTTGATGGGGAAAATGGATAAACATTGAGATCTCCGTTAGCCGGAACAATTGGTACACAGCACTTCCGGGAAAGAGAGATTTCCGGGTAACGAGACAACTCTCAAAGCTGGAAAAAATCCCTCATCCCCCGTAATTTTCCAGGTAATGGAAAATTTTTCTCGGAATTTCCACAAAATGCATCTGACTGTCATCTCTCAAACTCAGAAAGAAGCCCCCCTCCCCCCTCCCGAAATTTTCCGGAAAATGTGACCCTTGGAAAATCGTTCTCAAAGACGGAAATTTTTGGAAAATTCCGGCTTTGGGAACAATTTTCCGAGAAAACTTCAATTCCAGCTATCGGAGAGTTCCAGGTTTGAGGGATTCCGGCTAACGGAGATATTACTGTACAGGAATACTGTACCCTGGTTATCGGAAAGGATGCATTCTTAAAAGTCATTGCGATTAATGAAACTGAGTATTGGGGCAATTTTCCACATACTAAGAATTAATGTAAAGGGGAGGTGGGGGAGAATGCATTCCCCACATATTTTTCAATATACATTATATTGTACTAATTATCCAAGGCTATTAGGGACCAGGGTCACCTGTATACTGTAGTACCATTAAAAGTGAGGAATACATAAAAATTGTACTAATAAATAAAATAAACGAAAAATACCACATTGCCAGTTGGATACAGTTTCACTACACGTGGGAGCCTGGAGGGGGGCCTAGATCAACACCACTCCCTCCTCCTACAATTCAGGCGACTACCACGGTCATAAGAAATGTTCATTATCTTTGTTTTTGACCTGATTATCATTTTTTTTGTTTTGCACAGTCTGTATCAAGCTTGTGTGTGCATGTAACAGAATAAAAAAAAAGGAAGAAAATTACATATATCAACCCAAAAAATATGAGTTGAAAAATAACAATAATCAACCCACAGCACGCATGCATGTGAGTCACTTTCCACCACCACAAACATCAACAACATTCATCACCACCAACAACACTCACTCATCAACACCAACTTTCACCACCAACCACCACCCTGATGCTTTTAATTTTTTTTTGCACATTATGTATGAACAATAGTGTATGCATGTAACAGAGTACAGTACAGTGAAAGAATTTGAAGAAAAATTCATACGTATGTCTACTCAAAATTATGAGTTGAAAAATAACAACGAAACTCACAGGTTGGCCCAGTAGGGGGAGAGGTAAGGTGATGTAGTTACTGTGCTTGGTTACCTGCTAAGTCCACACACATTCATTAAGTCTGGCCTTACTTAGGCCTACTTCACACGAGCATTTTTGTCTCGCGTGTGTTCACACGGGCATGTTTTTCATGCTTCAGTTCGCCTGCATCTGACAAAAATAAACAGGCACTGCCAGGCCCTACCATAGATGCACCACAACTGATGGGTGAGAAAAACATGCTCATCATAGTACAATATTAAGAATTCTAGAACTCTCAGCTTATGATTTCACGCTGCGATTTGGAAGTAAAGGTACAGGCATGGGGTGAGCATCTCCTTACGTCGGAATATGAGCGCTGCGAGCCCACCGGATTTGAAATATTAATGTTGAGTACCATAATTTTTCATTTGCGAATAAGAGGGGTATGTTTTGTAAATATCAAATAGGTGTTAAAATATCAATTGCAGATAAGCAGGGTTACACCTAGCAAGATATTCCTGTACAGTACTGTATATATTCAGTTACTGTACTTTGCTGGATATGCATGTGATTACCATACTAGTGTCTTAAAGGCTTTCTTTTATAATTTGGCAAGATATTTCAAGGTTAAGCTACTGTACCAGTACTGTATTCCAAAACTTATAAGTCCTTGAGTATCAGGAATCCCAAATGCTTGTAAATTCTACTGTATCTGACATACCATAGAGCATTGAAAGTTCCATAATATGACATGTAGTAGTTCCATCCTCTGCTGTTAAGTACAGTAGTAGGACTGCTAGCTTTATGATGATATCGACCTCATATTTCATCGATGGTTTCATTATTTCTCAATGTAGTTTCATCTTTACTAAAATTATTTTATATATATATATATATATATATATATATATATATATATATATATATATATATATATATATATATATATATATATATATATATATATATATATATATATATATATATATATATATTTCATTAGCCCAATAAAGCACGCGGACTTCTACATACAATCAACACCTCAACCCGCCAGGATTTGAACCCACGGCCCACAAGCCCATGGTTATGACCGGGGAATGCTAACCGCTGGACCACCAGGACACAAAAGCAGTCCTAGACTTTGTTATATATATATACACACTCCTCGACTTATGACCTACTCGACTTACGACCACCCAGACATACGACAGCTGCAGTCGTATCAAAAATTTTTCAAATTACATATTTTCGAGTCGTGACGTTAGTGATTGCGCTGTGTACTGACAAAATTTTCGTTTGTAATTCGCTTTAAAATGGCTGGCAAGCTTATAAGTGAGAGTTTTTTGGTGCTGAAAAGAAAAAGAGTCACTCATTTTAGATTTTCTATATTATTTTCGACTTACGACCTGGATTTGGGTCCCTAACCCCATTGTAAGTCGGGGACTGCCTGTATATACAGTGGTCCCTCGGTTAACGAAATTCAGTTACCGAATTACCTCCCATAAGGATTTTCAGTTCAATTAACGAAAGCCTTACGAGAAACACGTTTTGCTGTGCGTCTCAGCTGATCGGCTAGTCCGCCAATACAGTACTCAGTTCTATGTTTACATTCGTTTCCAGTGGAATAAATATCAAGAAGGTGCTCTTTAATATTTTTGCATTTTTTATATTAAAATTATTAGTCATTCTAAAATTTAGTTAACATATTGATAATATAGACAGTATAGGGAACAGTTTTTGTGCACCCATCAGCTGATTGAATCACCCAACAACGCTTCTCAGTTTAACTTTGTTTACAGTGGAGTGAACACCGAGTTTGGTCTCTTGAATATTTTTGCATTAAAATTATTGGTCATTCTGAAATTTAGTTAACATATTGATAATATACAGTACAGAAATTATTATGAAACACGAAGAAGGCATTAGAACCAATGCACTCTGTAAAGAATATGGCATGTCATCATCGACTGCCTCTACAATCAGCTGTTTGATATGTAAACAAAGCTGCCGGGAATACGACATACACACCTCAAAGTAAGTTAAAATACAGCTCCTCCCCGACTTACGACAGGGTTAGGGACCCAAATCCAGGTCGTAAGTCGAAAATGCTTAAATAATACATAAAAAATCTTAAATGGGTGTCTCTTTTTCTTCTCAGCACCACAAAACTCTCACTTTTAAGCTTGCCAGCCATTTTAAAGTGAATTTCAAACGAAAATTTTGTCTGTGTACTGACGCTGGGACTCGAAAATATGTAATTTGACAAAATTTTGGTACGACTGAGGCAGGTCATAAGTGCGGGTGGTCTTAAGTCAAGTAGGTCGTAAGTCGGGGAGGAGCTGTACAGTATTCTATTGTTTTTATTTATTGTTGTACAGTATACTGTACAGTACAGTATTTAGTTTAAATTTAATGTTTTGTTAATTCTATTACCAGTATGTATACATTTTCTGTGAGTTGGAACTAATTATTCAATATCCCATTGAAATAATATTCGGTTAACGAATGACTCTGTGGAACCAATTGTGTTCGTTAATCGAAGGACCACTGTACATTGATGCAGGAAAAATAGTTAACTTTTAATATTCCCCTCTTTAAATACTCGCTAAGTACTGTTATTACATTCGTCCAGTGAGCAGTAGTTAATGTAACAATGTTGGTCATGCTGTACCATGCACAACCAATCTACCAAGCACGCAGATAGCCCAAATTTTCCATATTTATTCGCAAGTTTTGTACAGGTAGACCACCTCATATCCGGCAATTAGTAATCCGGTTCCACCACTGGTTCGGACATAATTTGGCCACCGTAACTTCAAATTTCGCACTGGTCTCCTCTCCAACCCGCTGCTACTGTTTTGGCGGCAAGTTAATCTTCTGTGCTTTTCTCC